GCCCCGGCCCGGGTGCGAGAGGTAACCCCCGCCGCGCCCGCAGGGACGAGGCCAGGCAGCTGCCTGAAGCCACACGGGATCCTGGCGGGAGGTGTTCTCGTAGCAACCAGATCTGGCTACAAACCGTCCCTCCGTCGCTCCACATCAATCGCCCCTGGTTTGGTGTCCAGACAGCAAAGAAAAACACCTTACCAGGAGATGGAAACACTGCTACCAGGGCTAGCTCCTGGTTAACTTTTATTTAAGAGTATTTTAAACAAACCACGCAACAGTAAACGGCCCCAACACAGCTCTGGGGATCCATCACAGAAGGCAGGATCTGCGCTGGGTGGGCTCAGGACCCAAAGCTGGTGCATGAGGTCAAGCCACACCCTGGTCTGTCCCTGCAGTGCACTGGGGGCACCGCCCCAGGACTGACAGAACTGAGCAATTTTGGGAAGAGCATCCTCCTGCTTCCAGCAGGCACCTTCATGCCACAGCACAGCGTCCCAGCACACCTGCAAGTCCAATGTTGCAAGAAGGGCTGAAGGAGGAAACAAAATTCATGTCCCGGTCTGCAGCAGGGGTGCAAGGATGGAATGAAAAACCACGGTCCAGCCGCGGCGCTTCCCCTGCCCCAAGTGAGACAGGGAGGCTCTGCGCAGGTTTGTGGGCAGGTTTGGGGCATCCCTTAGCCCCTCGAGTGCTCACCCCAGGACTCGGTAGCGGCTGGAGTCTCTTGCGGAGCCCCGCTCCCTGTGCCTGGGATGGGTTTCCCTGGCGCTGCGCTCCCGGGATCGGCCGCCCTCAGGACCCTCTTCTCGCCGGCTGCTGTGCCCGTCGCCCTTCCTGACAGCCTCCTCTCTCTTCTCCCTCTCTTCCCACAAACTGCTTTGTCCCCTCTGGTCCTGGAAGCTCTTTTCCCCTTTTCTCTCTGAAGGCCTCTGGTGCCTCCGCTCTTCCTCTTCTCGCTGCATCCTGCTCACAGGTTTCCTCTCCAAGCCCTTAGAGGGCTGCTGGCTCCCACTGGCGTAGCGGTCATAGCCAGGGTCTTCCTTCTCCTTCTTTATCTTGATTCTTGGGTGTGCCTCCTCTGTGGACACCGGCCTCTTCACAGCCTGCGAGCTCTGCTTTTGCCGCTCCTGTCTACTTTTCTCCTTATCTGAAATACAAGGTTTATCTCTCAGGACAGGCGGTCCCGCATGCATCACCTCAACCCCCCAAGCTCTGCCTAACACCACAGCACCCTTCCAGCTCCCCTCCAGACAAGCTTCACAGCCCTGTTCCCCCCCTCAGAGAGATCCTATTCCACTTCCAACCCTGACCACTTTCTCCTTCAGCTTGAGCCATCCTGCTTCCTTCTTTAACACTCCCCACATAGACTTTGTCCCGTCCAGGCTGCCCTCAAGCACTTCAGCACAGCTCAGAGGATCAGCACCTTCCTTTCTTTTTCTTTCCTCAGTCACATCCACATAGTAACAACACTGATCCACTCCGTGGAAATTCCCTTCTGCAGACCCAACAATTCTTTCTCTGCCTCTCTCATTTCCGTGCACCTATTCAGCACCCTGGAGCAACATCTTGTCCCCACCCTTCTGTTGCCTGTTTTCTTTCCTCCAGCACTTCTCTCAAACTAGGACTCTAGCCCCTCCGCCCCATGCTAAAGCCCCATCCACCCTGGCTCCTCCTCCACGCGACATGGCGCTGAGCTCCTCTCTCGATGTGGGACAGGAGCGCAGTAAAGACAAGTCCCAAACCTCAAAAGTGCAAGGGCTCAGCCACAGCTACAAGATGTCCCCAAATATCTGCTGCTAATACCTGTCTGCCACAGGCAGAACCCAGCTGTGGGAGGGAAGGTTCTTCTGCATGCCGTTCTGTGCCAGGAAGCTCCAAGCCAATTTCAGAACAATGGACCCCCACCCCAAGGCCACCCCACTGAACTAGCTTATGCTGGAAGCTACAACCCATCTCAGGTGGATGCTGCCTGGAGGTCATTAGCAAGCCACAGTAAGCAGGTCCTACCACAACACACTGCTTCTAGCACTCTGCTGGCTCCAACAAACATAACTTTTCAAGATCTCTGCCTACAGAGATGGAAAATACCCTAATGGCTTCCTAAAAATCCAGTACAGCTGTACAGGCTGGTCCTTTACACGGCACATTTGTTCAATTTGGATATACGTTACACCTTTTTGTTTTCTCCTGAAAGATGTAGAGCAACAAATCCTGCTGCGTCCACTGAGAACAGGAGGTATTCAGGCACTCGGATAATTTAATTTTTGCTGCATTATTAGGTCTACTTTCATAGAATCATAGAATAGTTGGGGTCAGGAGAGACCTTTAAAGGTCATCTAGTCCAACCCCCCATACTTTCCTTGACTTCAGTTTCTAGCCACACAATCTCATCTAGATCTGCCGGTTTTATGTTCTATCCAATTCAATCATCTTGCATAGGCCACAAAACGTTCACTCCATACACCTACACAACTCTAGTCCTACAGTAGCAGTATTCAGGTTTTAAGATTAAGTGGTGCTTTGCCTAAGCCTTTCCTCTCCCCACACCCCACAGCACTGCTTCCCCCTGCAGTAACCTTGCAGCCTGACAGGCTTTTGTTCAGGAAAAGTGCTATTATTGTCTGCAAGATGAAGCTCTTCAGAGGCTGGGGGACGTCATTCACAGGTAAGTGCTAGATACAGTCACTCAGATACCCCTCAGAAGATCACAACGCAAAGCCTGGACATTAGGGCTGTGGCTTGTCAAGAGCACACCCGTCTTTGCTGTTCCCCTGAGCAAAAGACTCTTGAGAGACTGAGGGCTCTGTGCAGACCTTCCCACCTGGGGTCAAGACTGGCAGGAACACACCTCACCTTTTTGCTTTTTTATGAGCACATCCTCATCTTCCGACAGGGAATCGGAAGACGTATGAGGGGGTGTTTTAACTCCACAACCCTTTGCATGGAGGGCTTTTGTAACATCATCTAAGTCATCAGATTCCTTGGGGGGCCGATAGTTGGCCACATGGTCCACTCGAATCGTCCGTCCTTTGATCTACGAGAGGAGTCACGCTGTTAGCAAAGGCACAGACCAGCTCCCCACATGCCGTGGGTGTGCTGTCAGGGCTCCTGTCTGATGCGAAGCAGGACCTTGGGAGCCTTGGCAGGCAGGCAGGGCTGTGTCCCAGGCTGCTTCACTCACCTTGATCCCATTGAAGTTGTCAACAGCGAGAATGGTGCTCCTCTGGTCCTCATAGCACAGAAAGCAAAACCCTTTGGACTTCCCGGTCTTCTTGTCCCGCACCAGGTTAATGTTGACAACCTCTCCATACCTGCAACACACTCTCAGCACCCCGGATGGCGACAGGGGCACGGCGGGCCCGGGGGGCTACAGCACTTACTGTGAGAACACGCAGATGACATCCCCCTCAGTCAGCTCGTAGTGCAGGCCGCCTGCAGGGAGAGGGAGACAAGGGAAGGGGATACTGGGCCCGGCCGGGCCCTCCCCACTCCCTCAGCACCACCACACCCCCTTCCCAATTCCACCCCGGCTCCGGCCCTCCCCGCTCCCCAAACAACCCCCCGCCCCAATCCCGGCGCTTCCCGCTCCC